AATAAATCACCATTAATCCTCAAATGATATATTCATTATAATAAATAGTGCCCAGATGTCACAATACTTTACTGGTGAATAATAGGTTTTCCTCAAACTTTTACTTTTATGTTCTAATTATTTTGAAGCAGTTTGGGAATGGAAGGTTTAACGCTGCAAGAACTAACAGCAGAGAACCCCCTTACAGAAAGCCAGAGGAGAAAGTATCTATAAATCTAAAACAAGTGTGTGTGTGGTGTGTGTGTGCGTGTGTGTGTGTGGTGACAAGGAGGCAAGAGACAAAGTTCTAGGGCCAGGAGTGATATTAAATGTCTTTTTACAGAAGAAAAATGAACTGGGAATCTCTTTTTGCCTTAAAAGGTAGACGATTTTGATAATAGGAACGCCAACTGGTAACATTACCAACAGGATTGTAAAAAACAAATGATCTGAGTGTGACACACATTTAACTAAATAAGACAAAAAAGAAAACGGCACAGCCAACATGGACTCAATGATTAATTTTCTCAAATCTAGACCGACAGAAGTCGGGTGAAGGCTGAGGCCAGCTAGCTATCGTCAGAAAAGTACTATGTAGCCATTTCATATACCTGAAGCCGGAGTGGCAAATACTCTTCACAGAGATCATCCCACAGCTCCTGAAGGTCTGAAATCTCCAAGGGATAACTCATTGGTGTCTTGTAAAGGGGTTTCAAAGACCTGTTAAGGAAACTGGAACAAACTCCATCTGTCATACTATGGCCAGGCTTGGCTCCAGGAGGGCTGGATTTCACTGGAATAGGAAGCCTGCTCCCTCGGGGGCTCTGGATAGGCTTATAATCAAGACCTTTAATCATGTTAAGAGCCAGCTCCAATTTATGATTACACATAGGCTGTGCAGCCTGTTCATCTGAACAAAAGTCACACTTTACAAGTTCCTTTGCACTTCTCTCAGATTCCTCCTCCTTCTGCTGAGGAGGACTGGCCTGGACACTCGCATCCAAAGATTCCACAGAGGAGCCCGGTGTTCCTTCCTCCATGCTCTCTCCATCTGGGGGCATCTTTGCGCTTGCTAAGTCCGGTGGCCCAATCTCGGACAACGCGGGTTCTTCGGTGCAAATGCTGGTAGACCACCTGCTAGAAGGACAACAGGAAATACTTCTGGCCACTTTTCGAGGCACCTTACAAATGGCTTCGTAGTCAGAATCGGCAACCCGCAGAGCCGCACAACCTCGACATCTCCTGGGTCGGGTGCCAGGGCCTTCGGAAGCATGGCAGCTGTGTTGTTCCTGCATCTGATCCTCACTTTCCACCCAGCACTCAAACCCTGAATAGGCAAAGTCCTCCTGGAGCAGTGCAGAGTACCTCACATCGGGTAAGCCGGAAATGTCAACCGTCCCACTCCCCGCCTTAGTCTCCGCGCCGGAGTCGTCGTTATTCTTCCGATACATGCTGGCAATGCAGAACTTGAGGCGATCCTTCTCCAGCAGCAGTTTCTGCAAGCGCTCAATAGAAAGGGCTTCGATGCGGGCGATAACGGTGTCGAATCGATAGATCCGATCGAGCATGAAAGCACACTTGCTGCAAGCAAATTCGCCTTTGCCATCGCGAGAGACATCCTTGCCCAGGACGTGCGAAAGCAGAACCTGGAGGTTGAGCTTGGACGCCGTGTGGAAGATCCAGCGCCGCTGATTTCCACACAGCTGCCGGGCACAGATTCTGCAAATCTCCTTCATCTTCGCTTACAGCGGGTGCCAA